CATGGCGTTAAGTGGTTTTTGAGTCGTAGGTGTGGGAGAGGTTTGGGGAATATTTTGGGCAGTAGCTAACAAAGAAATAGATATGTGTTTAGATGGTGTTTGAAATGTAGGTGTGGGTGATGGAATGGGGATGCTTGTGGCCGTGTGTAGGATGCTTGCTCTTGGTGTTTTTGGAGTGGCTTCATGGGGTTGTTTTTGTGGAGACAAAGGCATGGTTGGGATATGAGTTCTAAAGGGGTTTGGGGGAACCATGTGATGGTAATCTCTCGGCAAAAATCTCTTGATCAAAAGCTTCCTCATCTTCTCCCAAGTTTGTACTTTGGGCTTTCCTTCGAACTTTCTCTTAGTGGAAATATGTGTCCACCAAGTGGAAGCGTTTTGTTGGAACCGGGATGCTACAAGCTTGACCATTTTGCCTTCGGGCATATCCTTGAGGATTAGGATATTTTCAACCTTCTTGAGCCACTGTAGGAACTTCTTCGGATCATTTCTTCCTTCAAAGGTCGGAATGTCCACTGAATTTGTGAACTCTCCAATCTTTTTCATCAAAGCATCAAGCTCCTTCTTGAGTTTATTCTGTTCAGCAACTAATTCTCCACGAGACATGTTTTGGGAGTGGTTTGACATGGTTTTAAGGAAGGAGAAGTGCAGGGTATTTTGGGGTATAGGTTGGCCGAGTTGGGGTTGGTTTTTGGGGTCCTAAGGTGAACAAAGATAGGTTATGTTGGGGTTGGTTCCTGGGCAGGGAGTTGAAAGGTTTTTGGAGTATGTTTTGGCTTGGTTTTTGGATGGTTTAGCCAGGGGCTATTTTAGGTGATAAGTGTTGTATATTTGAGGTGAAATGGAGAGGGATGAGGGTGGCCGAAATTGGGGAGGAGAAGAAGAGGATACTTTGGGTTTGATATGGGAGAAGGATTAGGGAAAATATGAGTGGAGTTTAAAGTGGAGTGTGGAAGGAAATATTGTGGGTGTGGGTTGGATGTGTAGGCCGAAATGAGGGAAGAGGGAAAAGGGAGAAAAAAGGGGATAAACCAAGGAGGTCTAAGAGATATAAGAAACTCTTATCCTTTCTTGGGGTTATAATCTAGATTTCAATTAAGATATAACACACTTAATGAAATTCTATAACCTAACACTCACACTTAAGGAAACCAACCTTAAGATATAGAAATTAGGAATTTTAAAACAACACAACAAGTTGTATTATCTTGAAAAATGAGATTACAAAGATGGATTACAATGAGGCCCCTTGGCCAAAATAAATACTGAAAGGTAACCATGCAAGGATAGGCAGCGGAATAAGAATTTTAACATCCTAACATGATTATCTTGCCCAGAATCACGTACTAAAACTTATAGTGAGTAAGAAATTTATACCTTTCTCCGTAAGCGGTAAAAACGAAGAGGTCGTAGGAAGAGCGTTGAAAGTGCAAACGTAACCGTTCAAGTGTCCGGTCTCCAACTTTGACACACGAAAAACGCCGGAGTCTACCACAATCTTTATGCTAGTAAAGATTATAGTAGTATAAAATATAAAGATTAAAATTGGGATAATAATAATCTTGTATATTTCTATAGATAATATTTCTAATAATACTTAGAAAATATTATAGATATTTTCTATACACAAAATGATATTATTGGAACCCCAAATAATCACTTTCTCTCTCTAGAAAATGAAATGGCCGAAAAATTACACTTGCATAAATCAAGATGATGATCTTCACATCTATATAAAATATTTTGTTCAAAGTGCCGTTTAATCTTTAAATCAAATAAAAATACCCATATCATTTTTTAAACAAGTATACAAATATACTTTAAATAGTTTATGTCAAAATAATTATTTTCATAATTAAAATGACAAACCAAAATAAAATATTCAACATATAATATATATATATATATATATATATATATATATATATATATATATATATATATAGGGAAAGTTTGATATTATTTAATACGAATAAAAGAAGTTGTTACATCGCAATTGATAGCTCCTCTAACAATAGACGGAAGCTTATCAAAAGAAAGATACAACGAAAATACATTATTTTGGATTGCATGCTGGGCCAGATGATGGGCTGCCGTGTTGGCCTCTCTAAAGATGTGATTAACTCGTCCTCCCGATTTGTTGATGAGATCTCTTGTCATCTTACTGTGGAAGTCGTTATTTGTCTGGTCTTTTATCCTTTTTACACAGTTTTTGGAGTCTGTGTAGAGATTAATTTGTGTTTCCAAAAAAAGGCTTCTGCGCACTCCCCCATAGGCTGCTTCTAATTCTCCTTCGTCTGCAGATGATCTGTTTTGGAGTTCAAAAGTCCATGCTTTCAGGAATTTTCCCTGCCTGGTTCGTATGATCGCCGAGCCTGCCCCTCTACCGTTACGCAGTGCAGTGTCCGTTGTAAGCACAATTCCTTCTGCCGGGAACATCCATTTGTGAATTGAGATTGCTCCCATCTTCACACAAGGTATGTTGTTGTCAATTCTAATTCCTTCAATCTTCTGGCCCCTGTTGTTGTTGATCATCCATTCATAGATCTTTTTAAGAATGGTGTTGATGACTTGTGAACTATTCTGCTCCTCGTTTTCGTAGACCCGTCTGTTTCTTTCTTTCCAAATTTCATGTGTGATTAGGCCTGGGATGCTAGTGATCAAGTCAGTGTTTCCTTTTTGTTTTTGGCCTTGTTTCCACCAGTTGGTGATATAGCTCAGAATACCATGGTTGATACCCCTGTCTATTTTGAAAATTTCCTCAAAATGTGCCCATATTTGTTTACTGTAGGGGCAACTCTGAAAAAGATGTGTGCTGCTTTCTTCATTGTTCCTGCACAAAAAACAGATAGAGGGGCTATAAAAGCCCATTCTTGTTAGTGCATTGGGGAGGGGGAGATAGCCAAAGCAAAGTTTCCATAGAAACATAGAATGTTTAGGTATTTGCTTAGAATTCCAGCAGTATTTTGTGAAGGGGTGAATGGGGTTTTTCTCTCTCAGTGAATTCTTTGCCTTCTTCGTGCTAAAACCAGCCTCATTGTTATTCCACCAAAGCCTCCCAAATTCATCTATGTGAATTATACTCTGGACCATCTCATTGGTTTTGTAGAGTCTTTTCCAATATATGGAATCAATGATTTTGGGAGCTATGTCAAGACCCCTGGGGTATCTGGCCCTCATAAACTGTGCCCACAAGGAATTATTTTGTGTGTAAGTCCACCACATTTTGAGTCCATATGCCTCTTGAAGGTTATTGATATCAGTCAGACCTAGACCACCTTCCTCTTTAGGGTAGCAAAGCTTCTCCCATGCAGCCCAATGATATTTGTTTTTACCATTGGCTTTTCCCCAAAGAAAGTTGCTCATTTTTGTCTGGAGACTTTTGATAACACTTTTGGGAAGTTTGCTGCACCCCAGCAAGTGTAAAGGAATTGAATTCAGCACATGCTTGATTAGGATAAGCCTTCCATTCATGCTGAGAAGCTTTTTATACCATCCCTGGAGTTTGCTGTCAAAAAGATTAAGGATGCTTGTGCAATATTTCTGTCTGTTAATCCCTTGATGGATCTGAACACCTAGGTATTTAAAAGGTAGGGTACCTTTGTTCATACTTAGGGTTGCCTCAATCCTCTTCATGGTTGAATGGGCAGTTTTTTTTGGAATGTAGAAGGAGCATTTCCCTTTATTTATTTCTTGCCCTGAGCACTCTTCATACTCCTTTATCAGCTTCATCAGTTTGGTTGTATTCTGGGTACTTCCATTAGTGAAGAGAATGAGATCATCAGCATAGGCTAGGTGGGTAACTGGTAGGTAGTGTCTCCCCAGGTAGTAAGAAGACAAGTGGCCATTTACTGTTTCAGCTTTGATGGTCCTGCTCATAGCTTCTGAAAAAAGAATAAAAAGCATTGGGGACAGTGGGTCCCCTTGCCTGAGCCCTCTTTTGGGTTTGAAGCTCTTTGTTTGAATGCCATTGACCAAAAAGGAGAAGTGGGAGCTCTGCAGAAGATTAAGCAGGAGAATTTGAACTTTAGTATTGAAACCAAATTTATTTAGGATAGCAACTAGGAAATTCCAAGATATCCTATCAAAGGCTTTTGACATGTCAAGTTTAATAGCCAGATTTCCCCCTCTGGTAGCTAGGGTAGTCCAGACCATGAATGAGTTCCTGTGCAATGAGGATCTGATCATGTATGACCCTCCCTTTTACAAATCCTCCTTGTTCTTGGGAGATAAGGTTTGGTAGTATTGTACTCAACCTCTGGGCCAGAATTTTGGAAAGGATTTTGTAGCTAAAGTTTGACAAGCATATAGGTCTATAATCCTCACATATGCTGGGGTTTTCTTTCTTGGGTATGAGGATTATGTTTGATTGGGATATGATTTTAGGTATATGAATTCCTAAGAAGAATTCTTGGGCTGCCTTGATGCAATCTTCCTTTATCCAATCCCAACTTTGTTTGAAGAATTCCCCATTATAACCATCTGGTCCTGTTGCACTATCTGCTGATAGGGACCAAATGGCATCTTTAACCTCTTGCTCATCTGGTAGCTTGGTCAGCTTAAGATTATTCTCTGCTTGGATAAGGGTTGGGATGTTTTTAAGGAATCTGTTTCCATCCTTCAAATCCTTCTCCTGAAAAAGATTTTGAAAATGTTTGAGAAACTCTTCTTGAATATCCCCTTGTAAATGTATCCAAGTTCCATGAATGTTCTTAATTCTAGTTATCTTCTGATGTCTTCTCCTTTCCTTTGTAATTGCATGAAAGAAAGCTGAGTTAGAGTCACCTTCTTTTGCCCATTTTAGATTGGCCTTTTGTTTCCAGTAGGAGAATTCCTGCTGAGTAGGAATTTATATATATATATATATATATATATATATATATATATATATATATATATCGGTATTTATATATATAAATATATCACCGAATGTTTAACATATATATAATACTATATTCAAAAATATTTTATTTTACTATTTTTACAAATATACAAATTACTTATTATCCCATTGTTTAATCCTACTCCTTAAATTGTCCAAAGTGTGTGACCCGTATAGGCACTTATAAAACTGGCCACAGTATTGGCTCTGCACCAATACTATAAGCAATAAGCGGTATCTAGCAACACATTATTGCCCCCAGATTATAAGTTAAGACGTTTGCACCGTCAAAATCTTTCCACGACTCAGACTCCGTGTAACTGTATCCTTTTGTCTCAATGTCTAAACTTAATGCAAGGGATTAATAAAATCCAACTTGTATCCATTAAGTCATTCACTGATTTATCAAGTCTGACTAATAGGAACAGAC